CCTGCCATTGCTAATGCGCAAATTCATTCCATCGCAAAGACTGAAGTACTCATTTACATTCGTACTCATTTACGTTGGGGCGCTTTTTTCTCTGTTTCACATTAGTGCGATTTTCAGTCCCAGGCAACATTAAATATAGGACAAATCAATTCAGAGAGAATCATGTGAGCTGAGGAATCATGTAAGCGACACAAAAACCCCCAGTTGCTTATTCACTGCTTTACATTACTTAAAAAGCTTAAATGACCAGAATATATTTGAAATGAGTCAGTAGTCGAAATATTTTAGCAATATAATATATTGTGAATAATAATTAAGTAAAAGAAATGGAGATGAGTAATGGAAGGGGTGTGTAGATAGAGACTTTGGAAGTTTAGTTAGATGATCTTTTGCAGTATGCTAATGAGATAGTGCCAATGAAGGCGTTGATTGACAAATTCGGCTATGAGAAATGCTCGAATAGTCCAATGATCGATATGTTACAATCTTCGACTACCAAAGATGTAAGTTTATTTCGTGCTAGATTGTAATTAAAAGGATGATTTTTTTCACCTGGTTGTAATTTAATCTGTAGAAAAATTGGAGAAAATGCATAAACATATTAAAGAAAACTGAGATGATAACTTGTTTATAAGACTTATTTTCAACTGCGCAAATCTAAACCATATATATGAACAATGTAATTTCATTGAGTGAGTCTGAGTCATCAACGAATCGAAACGGTTTTCAGTGAGGGCTGCAATCTGTGAAATAGTATTGCTTTTTTATTTCTGCATTCTTCACTTTAAAATCGTTAAATTGGTTTGGTAATTTTAGATTTAGAGATAACGTCCTTGCTTGGTTATTTGAGCATGCTTCTCAATAGTGCAAGACATTTTTACAATAAAAGATAAAGCTTCTAAGTGAAGTCCACAGTTTCTATTGTATTGTATATATTTTAGGAAAATATTATATATATTTTCTCAAATTGTCCTCTTTTCAAAACTTAATCTTTTATTTCAGCACCCAAGACCTCCTCCAGACTTCAGATCGGGCATAAATCGTATGAAAAAATCAAAGGCAGTACAGTGTGATAAACGTGCAACTTCATCCAAAGATAAGGTCAGGAGCAAATTAGTTGAAGCGGTAAGTTATTTACAGCAATCGTCAGTTTTCAATTCTTACATCAATTATCATCTTATTTTGCTTTAATGGTATTTTTTCATCTGTGAATATTGAGGACTAAATTTTACAAAAATTCGATTGTGTTAAGTGCTTAAGGCATTGAATCCAAGTTCGATTATTTTGTTTAGTGCTCAAATCAAAATTAATTTGCAATGTCCTGGTAGTATTTTTTCGTTGAAGTTTCTTCAATAATTTTTTGATTGAAATTAGTTAATTTTATGACTAAACTGCATTCTTGAGACTGAAATGTAATCTGATTTTTAGCCATCGATTTGTGAAGATAAGGAGCATAAAAGAACAAAATATGGAGATAAAAAGATTACTCTTTTAGAGCAGATAATTCGTACTCATCCTATTTGGTACCTGCAGCATATTGGACGGTCTGCTGCATCACATTTACTTCGTCCAATGAACCGAGGGGTATGATGTTTTTTATTGCAAATATTTCAAACTTTTCAGTCATTCATTACAAAGTAGTTATATATGAAGAGCCTATAGCTAAACTGATTAGCGAAAGCTAATTTGCATGAAATTTTTAAGAATGAAACTAGTTTTTTCCATCATATGGATAACAGTAGCTGTTCTGAAAATCAGTCATTTTTAGAAACCTTGATCCTTATAAGATTTTTAGGCCTTTATTGTGCGGTCGTCATCAAAACCGAATGCAATGGCGTTAAGCATTCGTTCTCCTTCTGGCTTGAGTTCTGACATAGATCATTACTTAATAGAATCAGCTGGTTTGGATAAAAGTGTGCGTGTTGAGTCTTCGCCTTACTTTTTCAAGTCACTTCCTCTGTTAATTGAACATTATTGCCTTCATGGGTAAGAATTTGTCATGATTTTTGATAGTATTGAAAGTTATCATTCGATGACTTAAGCTTAGTGATTGAATAACATTTGCTTATGTATTTGAACTTATGTAATTCTGCTATCATCTATAATTGTAAGAGCAAGTGTTTCATAAAGCTAATGACTGGAAATTACATGCTTTGTATTTTCTGTCTATGAGTTAACGGAAAGGAAAATGTAAAGTAAGGAGTATTTATGTTTTCTAATATAGTTACAAAAATTGAAACTGGTCACAGAGAGACTTTTGGAAAACTTCAATGAAATCAGATGCTTAGAAGAGCATATTTGAAAATGTTAATCTATAATTTGTGTTACAGATAGTTCTGATAGTTTTGCTGTTAACATATGGGTTAGTGGGGGATAGCAAACATGAAGTCATTGTTTTAAATACTGAATGTAATCAAAACATTAAGAATTTGTCTGAGTATTTTTCAGTGAGGAACTTCAGACGAATCTTGTCTTGCCAGTTGCGATTACAAATTGTTGTACGAGTATGCAGCTGCAGAGTTTGGCTCTGATGGGTCAAGGTTAGTGCAATATCTCATATAAATGATTCATTCATTCATTTATTCGTACTGCAGTTTGTGATTTCAACTGTCATTGTTTTTCATCTTAGTAATGGTTAGTTGAAGATAGTTATACACGGAACTGATGATTTGCGAGATTTTTGAGCCGAAGTTGTAGTTTTGTCATGGAATGTTAAAAATTTCACTAGCTTATTTTCATATAAATAAAATGAATTAAAAGATGATGGTGGACTTCATTTAGTTCAAGTCTTCCGTTAACAGTGGTATATTTGCGTCTTTCATTATCTTTGTATTTTCGAAAGCAGTTTGTTCAATTTCAATTTTATAATTATTATTTTTGTAATAAATAGATAAAAAGATAAATTTTTAGGTTAACATTTTTCTAAAATCAGTGCTATGTCTCTGTCAGCTTTCTTTGATTTGCAGTGACTTAATACTGATAATTCTGAGTAATGCGATTTTAAAATACTCTTAGATAAATTCTGCCAATAATTATTAAAATTCATTTAGATATATTAGAAAGAAAATATCCGTACAATTCATTCTCGTCTCTCAACTTGTCAGTGTAGTGTTGTATGAGGTAATTAGCGTGTGTGTTGTGTATGTATGTATGTATGTCTGTGTGTCTGTATTCGCATTTATACCAGAATGTTACACATTTTACTATGATTAACCTTTGTCCTCTTTTGCGTATGTTTCCACCTTCCGTATCGTTGGTAATGGCACAGCCAGTTGCTTCGTGTGTTTCAGTGCTCTTTCCTATTATTTTCCTTACTCATCCATGGAATTATTGTCTCTAAATTTAATGACAGCTATAAATAAGAAAAAATTTGAGTTTCTAATTGCTTTCGGTCGTTTTAGCTATATTAGTAAAGAAAAGTAGTGAAATATAATAAATGTTTTCGGGAAGTACTCATCAGTGCATCTAACGTGGTGAATGCACACAAAGTAGTATTTGGTGAAATAGGTTTCTTCAATTTACATGGACAATTTAAAGAACAAACCCATAGATCTCTGCTCTTAGTTCGATTAGAGCACATCAGAACAGTGCTCTTTCGCATTGTTCCAAATGTTTATTGCGAATTTCCCTTATTACGTAAATTAGAGTTAATTAGTGAAAAACTGGTCATGAACCAATTGACGTAACCTCGGTATTCAAAAGATAAAATTATTTACCTAAAAATTCAAATTTGTCATCACGTGCGAGGCATTTGATGTTTGTTTGAAGTAAGATTCTATCTGCATTAAACTTCAGAAATCATTTTGCGTTTTAAATTATTCATTGCAGATGTGTATCACAGAGTGTGATGTTAATTCTCATTCAAATTGGCATGAAAGTTCATGTGGTAAAATCGCTCTTTTAGGAAATGTAGTTCTCAGCTCATATTTTTTTAATATGAAGAGTCATTTACTGAGTACTTTTCAAATTATTAGAAGAAAAAGTGGAGTTTTGGTGGCGTAATTAATTTGTAAATTCATTCCAGAATCTATGATTCCTTTCAGATTTGTTGTTTAATTATATTTGAAACATATTCTTGAAATTTGTAAAGAATACTTGACTGGAGTGAATGGTGTTTAATTTGCCTCAATGGTTTATCTCGCTTCTCCATACACATTAGCAATATTACATTTTAACTAGCTGCAAAAAAGTCATCTCTCTTTTAATTTGGTTTTGTTTGCTGTCATTTTGTTTTTTCAGCATCTTAACAATCATTACACAAATTTTATATAAAAAAGAATGCGTGTCACAAAGCTAGTCTGTGTTAATATCTCGAAAAGAATCTTTGATAAATGTATCGAAACGAATGCAACAGGTCTTTTCCACCTCTTCTCTCATCTTATCATAGATTATGAGATAGAAGTTCAATGTTGTATTAAGTATTCAGAGAGCTTCTATTATTGAAATAATAAAGCGGTATTCTTAAGAACTTGCGTATTGATAGCAATAAGCTTTTTTTCTTAAGTTTCAAAAGAAAATGTATATATTTAGAGCTGCCAATTTTCACCTGCGATCTGCTAAGCTGTATTAGATGCTTAACAGCGAATTAATCGCATTTTGTTAAAAAATCCGATTGTTTCTCTTATTTAACTGTTTTCTCTTATTTTAACTGTTATTTTCTCGACTGTTTTCTCTTATTTTATTCGGAAATCCGATTGTTTCTCTTATTTAATCTATTTTCAGTTGAGATTGCTTTAATTGAATTAGCAGGTGTTTTTTTACTTCATTAAACACAAAATTAATATGCATTTATATGCTTTAAATTATTTACTGCTTCTGAATCAAAAGCTCATCCATTCTTTTCAGTTGATTAAGAAGGCTCTCTGAAAGTCTAAGTATAGTATTGAAATTTCATCTCACTGTTATTCATTTTTTAATTTAATAATTATTAGAGCCCAAATAATGAATTCATCCGAACTACGCAGTTTTTTGTTTTGACAAATTTTGTGCAATTGGAGTTGAATTATGAGATTTATAGACGCTGTTCTCAAAAATTATTCACTTTATTCTTGTAAAAAGGAGCAGTCAATTATCAAGCTACTTTCATTTTTCAAATAAGCACTTAATTCCTTTATTTTGACCGTGTAATTTTGTTGACATTTTCGCATTTTTGCTTATAGTAGTTGTAGGCTTTTAGTCATGCCCTTGAAGCTGATTTTCTGGTTTATGTTATTTTTCTTTTGAATAGGAATCACTTTTGTTGCTTGTGTAACGTATTAACGGATATTCCGTTCAGTAGTGATTGTTTTAAATAGTTTTTAATTCTGCAGTGAATTACAGTTTTGCCTTCTGGTAGAAAAAAATTTGTTGTAAAATGTCAAAGAGTATGAAAGCAGGTCAAATGTCTACTTTTTATTCTGTTGCAGTGGAAAAGTTATGTTACAATATCGGCTTATAACTGACATCTGATATAGTCTGCTGGGCTTCTGATTTATTTCAGAATTCTAAGGCTAGTAATTCACTATGATCAAAAAACAAAAACAAGAGTAGTGTCGAATGAAAGAACTGTAAATAAACAAGGCTTGCATAATTTTAGTATATTTTCAGTTTACAAAATTTTTTAAATAGTTCCACTCTTTGCTTCATTACCGGGCAACAGAATTTTTGGAACTTCACCACGTCTTGCCAGAATATATACTGTATGACAGCCATTTTCTATGGCATCATTTTGTACGCTTCAAAATCATAATCGATAGACAACGGTGGGAGCAGGTCACGTTGTTGTTGTTCATATCATTACGCTGCTAAAAAATCCACCGTAATAGTAGATGACGATAAGGTCATCAGCAGGTGGAAGGTTTTTCCATAATTTATTGAGATATTTTGGAAGAATATAATTTATGTCAGTTGCTTGTTTTTTGATTTTATGATAATCATGACAGAATTTTACTTGACATTTTGCTGTAGTGCTGAAAATTTAGTTATAGCCGCTAACCAAAAGTTCATGAAGTTTTTTATTTTAGGATTTTAAGACAATGATCTTCATACGTTTAGCATAATTTCCTATTGAAATAATCATATCTATGTTTTGCATCATGAATTAGAGATTGTTGTTGTGAAAATAGGAGTATAACATATTTGTAACCAAAAATGAGCTTTAATGCTCGTCTACAAATGTTGAATTCAATGTTTTGTTGATAATTGGGATTTATTTTGTTTAAATTTTCTATTCTCTATCTAGGTTTGAATAATAAAGGTTCAGTGCTGTTGCAAATTATTCAGTTTTGTACGTAATCTGGATGAAGATAGTATATATAGAACTTGATTTGTGTGAGCCCTTTTCTCAAATTGATACTTTTTAGTTAGTTTATTGGCAGCTTATAGGGAGGGGCAGCCTGAACGTTTGGCCTAATTTGAATAATGTCTTTATGAGTTAGAGTGGCAAAATGCTAGGAAAGATTAATCACTTGCAATATGTTGTTGAAATTGTCTAGAGAACAGTTTTAAAATAGTGTAATTGTGTTCTTCTGCTGCAATATGATGATTATTGATAGGGTTAGCGTCTGAAACATCTGCTTGTTAAGATATCCAGCTGAGAATTTCGTGACATATTTTTCGACATATTTATTATGAAAAGTAGCTAGAGTTGAGTTTCGAAGCTGTCGAGAAATTCTAGAAAAGCTGTCTCTTAAAAATTTGCGGATTGCTTCTAAATTTGTCATTGAAATAATAGTTGCCTGAAAGTGGTCTAAAATTGTCCTGTTTACTGTGAATACGAAGCTTGAAAGGAGGATTTTCTTCTTTCTATTATATGTTTGTGAAAACTTCAAAACTATCAATTTTTGTAGTCACTAAGAGTAACTTCATCGTAGTGAACAAATAATTATTCGCTATGGTAAAGTTATTTTCAAGGAATTTAAAGTTTTTATTACATCCACCATCTTCTTCTTTTTGTTAATGAAATTTTGTAACTATTTCATTATTTTTTCCATCTAGGAGATGCTACCTATTATTTTTTTGTAATCTGGGAGAAACTATACCATTAGTTTTTAGTGTTTCATCTTTGACGTTAATTTTTTGGAAATAATTTTTCATAGGTATTTATTGTGGTTATTACAGCTTTGCTCTGTATTACTTTTTTTACACACCAAATTCTGAATTTTTGATAACTAGCTCTTTTGTAGAAGTTCAGTGTTTACTTTTATTACTCTCACAACTTTATTATGTTTTCATCTTCACATTTGTTTGACTAAAAGTATTAGATAATATTTTTTGATATAAAGAATTACTCTTGAGTTCTTCCATGAATTTTACAACATCGATGTTGTTACTTTTAATTGCTTCAGATTTCATATTTAAATTTTGAATTTTTTAGATTTTTGGACGAGTGATTTAGCTCATCAAGAAAACAAATTGCAAGCAGTAGAGGGCCATTTGTCTTCGGAATCTTCTGATGTCAAGTTTTTCTGTAAAAAACGTTTAAGTCTCCTCTCCAAGCATTACGTGTCAACAAATGGTGCTGACACTCATCTGTTAAAAAGTGTCGATGAAAAACATGTAAATAATTCATCTAGTTTGGCTCAGGATAAAGGTAAACTTTTTTAGTTTGCCATAAAATAAGAGAGCGATGAATGAAGTTTGAACACAATAATTCTTTTCTCGATAAATTTCGTTTTCTATTATTTTTTCATGGTCAAATTATATCCGAATTATGCTTCTGTAGTGTATGATTTAGCTTTATTACGGAAAATTGGAGTGTTTGTTTCTACATTCATTTATTCTGCTGTTTATTTATTTACTTGCTTGTACCTTTTTGATATGAAAACATATTTGTGATAAGTGAGCAGATATGGTAGATAGTAATTCGTCGTTGATCGAAAGGTCATTTTTTGTTTGCAGATATGGTACAGGAAAGGACGTGCTCTACACGTACAACGTCATCCCAGGGCAGTTCAGCAACTGCAAATGATGCCGGTGAAAAGACTTCTGCATCAGTTAGCCGCTCATTGCTAAGGCATACATTTCGTGCGGAAAATTCTTCAACTTCAGCCGCTGTCAAACATACTGATAGCAACAAAATTATTGCTGACAGAGAAGGTGAAGTAGCTGGCTTGGCTCAGTGTCGTATTTTCACTCCGCTCGATCAACGACGAATTACTTCGTTAGCTATTCAGTCTTCCGCACAAAATTATGTTAGATTAAAAAAGTCATGTCTGTGCTCACTTTTTCATTATATGGTAATTGTCTTTTTAAATAAGTGTTTCTCTGTCATTGTAGAAGCCAGTCAGCGTTTGCATTATCGTCCACATCGTCACTTTCAACACAAGGTGTCCATCAGGATTCCATGCATTCAGACATTTCTGTTGCTAACTGTTCGTTCTCAAAGCGAAACCGGTTCACTGAACATCTGAATCAGCAATTTCCTGCCCCACTGCTCCGAACCTTTAAACCAGGTCGTTCTATCATTGACATCGTTGATCAGGAAAAAATGCAGAAGTTGACCAGTGCAAATTATTGCTTGCCTGGTATAATAATCTCACTTTTCTTCGTTTCATTGTCATATATTTTTGGTAGTTTGGAAAAATTTTTTAAAGTGTGATGTAGTTGGTTCTTCGCTGTATAACTGAATATTAAAGAGTCTAAATTAATTATATTACATTTTTTATATATCTTCCAATATTTATCACTTTTCTATATAAAATCCTCTCGCACTTTTATATGGTCAACCAATACGTGTATAGGATTAGTACTTCTTATTTGGAGCAAACTAAATTCAGTTAGCGATAAATAAATTTTACTAATGACAAGCTCACATCATTCATACTGCAATATTTAGCGAACTCGAAACCAGTTGTAAAACCAAAACCTTTGGGATTAAGACGTGAGCGCAGTGATTTGACAGATGTTTATGGTTCACATATCGTTGCTCACTACAGCGAGCATGGAACAAGTGCTGATATTACGAATGGTAACAATGATGGTAATAGCATTCGACGGGCTTTGGTACCACCATCTGCCTGTCTCGATGAAAATGTCTTGCGTAAATGCCTGGAAGAATTAAAAAGGAAAAGGTAGCTATTTATTTTGCTTTTCCATCAATGCTAGCGTTTTATTTTTGATCACATTTGATGTGCTTGGAAAGCTGAAATTCCTTCATGATCTATGTGTGTATTTTTGTAATGGATTTTTGTATGTAAATAAATCAAAGGTGCCAGATGTTGCGATTTCAATCAAAATGATGTAGAAAATATTGGGTGACAGTGAAGATATACGTCTTTGTAGTAAATATGTTTATTCCTAATTTAAGGAACAAATTCTTCTGAGTTTCTTCCGCATGGATGTATTTACCATTTGCACTAGCAAAAAGGCGCGCTTTTTTATACGGGTTCGATACAAAAATTTAATCATTCAAGTCAACACTATCAAATTAAAGATCCTTTGTCTCGCACTCTTTTTGTTTCTTCTTGTTAGATGTAGATGCACAAAATATTAATAATTTCTCCTTTTTTGGCATTCGGCATGTGCAACATGCTGTCTGCGTTGTCATAACTGTAAATCAAAATCATTTTGTTTCTTGATTTGCACATTTTTTGATTTGGAAGTTCGTAGCATCCAACAAGGATTAGAGGATGAAGTTTTTAGGTCATAGTTGTGAACTGCATTGGGGATAATGAAGTTCTATGAATAAAAAAACTGAACATTTGATTCGAATATGATCACACGAAATTTGTAGTTTTTCAAGAACTTTTTTACTTTATAAAGTTTTGTTCTAACAATTGCAGTTTTTCAAAATTTTTATTGTCATTATAAAACGTTTTAGCGCCGGAATTTGCATTTTTTTATCAAGCCTTTTCATTAATTTATTCATTTTTGTTTGTGCTGAAAATGAATAACCAGTATCTTATACCGAAAATTGAATTTTTTTAATGACTATTTTTGGATATCATGTGCATAAGATGTCATTTAATTCTCCAGAAACATCATAATTCTAGACAAGATGGCATGGCCCTAACTTCCGAAGAAGGTTCAGGAGCACATCAACAGTTTTCCCAACGCAACCATCGTAGGGAAGCAAATGAAAGTGATTTGGGCAGTGTAAATATTGTTTTAAGGTTTGTGGATTTAGTTTTTATTAATTTTTTTGAATACCTTTGAAATTAGTCGTGAAAAATTTGTGCTGAAATGTCAGAGTTATTCCTTGCAGTTTGTTTGTTTCTAATTTAATAAAAATCAGTAGTTTGAGAAAAACTATTGGGATCTGCGATTTTTCGTGGTTACAGGGCACGATCCGGTGAGAGTTATCGAACAGATCAGCGTCGTTTATCAGTTCCTGATTTGGTAGATCTGCAGCATTTATCGTCGAACAGTGTTGGCAGTGGAGTTACAGCGACAGCTAAAGCATTGACGTCAAAGTTCGGTCGAAATCCTGGAACGGGAGAACTGCAGGTTAGTCTTCTGTATTTATTTTTAATCATTTATGGTATCTTGTTGGGATAGCATATTTTTGTGAAAGTGTTAATACTTATTTTGTCAAAATTGGAATTCTTTTATATTGTGTGTAGTCAATTCTTCTAAACTTATTTCTAGTATGAGATTTATTGCTATTATTACTGATATTTCTTGGACTGTTTTTAGTAGCGATGATAAATGAAATGAAATTTAGACAATAAATGAAGGTTTGGTGAGTCCGTTAGTACGATGCAAACAGTACGTAAAAGATGTACAAAAAAATGATGTTGCAAACGATTGGTGTAGTGCTGGTTTTTCGCAGAAGCCTTCACCGCCTCATAAGAAGTTGCCAAAGCAAGCTGAGCAAAAATCTGTAAGGAATGATAATTTGCGATCTGTGGAGCAAATGTTTTCTAGGAAGTTAGTCACGCTTTCATCCAGTTTTTGATGACTACTAAAATGCGAGATATTGTTCATTATCTCATGCATCCAAAGTATTCGATGTGGAATTTGCAAAAAAATTTTATTGGATTTTGAGTGGTGGTGAATGAATTGAAAGTACTGGACTATCTTGTTTGTCATTTTTCTGATATAGAAGCAAGTAGTCGATAATTTCTCCCCAGAGTTTATTAATGCGGTCTGTGAAGATGAACAGATGGAGATTGGTTGTTATCTTAATCTGATTAGGACGTACAAACTAATTCTGAACTGCGTTGTGTTGCCCATGGATTAGTCAGTATATAAATAGATGTCTATCCGTACATGAACGAATTGACAATTTTCCATTGCAAATTGTATTCCCATTGCAATTTGCACATCTAGGTTTTGTTTTTATTTTGATTAATTGATTGTTCGACTGCCGGTACAAATAGCGCTTTATGCTCACATTTTAAGAGGATGGGGTGAACCATAATGATTTACAAATGAGTAAATCATTATGGTTCACCCCATCCTCTTTTAATTTTCATGCGTATTTATCTTGTTAAAAGATTCTATTCACTCTGCCTACTTTTACTGTTAAGAAACTCACTGTTTGAGAACTGCTACACAGTTTCATTTGTTCGTTGTTAACGGTTCAGCAGATGATCCAGTAAACAAGGAGGACTTTTGTTGTAACTGCTTTTGCAACCACAGAATTATACCGCCCCAGTCATTAATCATTTTCTTAAAATCTTGGATTTGCGGAAGAGTGAAACTGCGCGTGAAGAAGAAAGATTGTTATCGCGGTAGGATGAAACATAGTTTCCAGAGATTTCTTGCACAATTTGCTTATCTTTTCTAAAATTTATCACTTTCATGAAATGAGAAGAGATGCTTTGTCAGTTTATGCTGCCGTTAAGAATAATTATTTTTGTCTCACACATTATGTCTAATTATTTGAATGTTTATATTTGGGGGAAATGCATTTGGCTAATAAGGTTCAATTTTCTGTTTCTGGAGAACTTATCCTACTTCTTACCTTTAATGTCATTTAAAAATTCTCTTCGATTGTGAAGAAAGAGCTAGTAGTATATTAGTTGCTTAATTAATTTTAGAAATTTTTCGTATGCAGTTTCTTTTTGTTTCGTTTTTATCGAGAGTAATCATTATAGCATAAAGATTGTTCCTCGTTCTCATTACGGAGGTGTTATTTTAAATAGTGTCGAAATTCTTTTTATCTTCGAAGCAACCTATTCTTATCTCATTAGGAAGTTTCCAAGAGACCCTTTTGTATTATTTGCTACTCAAAAGTATGTTGGGGACATGCGTGAATGCTTTTTTGTTGAAACGCGAAAATTATGCTGTGGCATTTTGAGTGTTCTTGACTACGTGATTCCGTCTTTTCAAATCTTAATGGCTACTTATTTAGCTGTCACCCACCGATTCAATAGTATTATTCTTTGTATGAGTGTGGCTTGTAATATACACTCTGTAAACATTCATAATCTTACATCATTTTGGTTACATGTTTTTGAGCTTTCATAGAATAAAACAAGATATAATTGATGGACAAGCAGAGTAAGTGCTTTTTGTTTATATTGGAATTCATTCTGTCGAAAATGTGTAGTAGTTAAATTGCGTAGATTGCATAGGATAAATAAATAGTTTATTCGTTAATTTGGTGCAATTTTGTTACACCTGCACCGACTTTAATTTTATTCTGCATCATGTCGCAGAACGTCATTGAACTGAATCCAAGCTGGTTTAATCTTGCCTGCCGCTTATTCATTCACACGACAATTACCTGTATTTGCGTGAAAGGGTGCAGAACAAACGCCTGTTTTATCGCATTATAGCCATAAGGAGATTCTGCGCCCCTGTCTTAGATGAGTGCTGAAGAGAAAATAAATCAGGACTGAAATACTCAGTAGAGTGGTACTGGATTTTTTTCGATAATAGATTCTTATTCTTTGCCTACATCAGCTCTATTTTCATATTTGCACGAAATAATTTTGCACTCCCATCGTCATCCTCACTATGTATTCATATTTATTCCTACATAGCAGATACAAAAACATCTACCTTACTCCCTGTCCGCATTTTATCATGCGTTTAAACAGACCAAAGATATCAGAATAGAAGCGTGACTAGAATTTATGATAATTAACGACCAAACTCAGCTTATTTCAAACATGATTTGCTCAAATTTTGTCTTCCGTCTTTGTTGTGACCTCTTGCTCTTGTCAGATAGTTCAATATTGATTCTGCTAAGGATATCATTGTCACATTTAATATGGATGACAATTTTCATTTTCACATAACAATGTTTTTCTCCAGTCCCACATTTATGTCTTTTTTCTCTTTGTCTTCATTGCGAGGAAGGAATGTTTAGTTAATCATTTATGTTGCATTTCTCGACATTCATTCCCGTAAGCTTATTGACTGAACACCTCATTTCCAAGTCATATGTCTCACCAGTCATTTTTCCTATCAAATTTTTTCCTAAATCTAAAGTTAAAAAATTCTGAAACAGTAATTTTTTTAGTCTTGTTGTTCCTTGCAGTTCATTTCATATCGCATTTTGAACATGCGATCTGTTTTCCACTATGTGAGTTGTTTAGTTATAGGTTTTGTCATATTACTTTCATGCCTGTGTACGCAAAACACAGTCATTATGGGATATCTAGTATTGAAGTGATGGTAGCATAGTAGAGGAATTTGTTTTTTTTTTCATGCCTGATAAAAGCAAAGTAATAGGAATAAGTGTTTGCTATGAGCTATTAAAATGGACCGTAAAAGCGTTTGATAAGTTTCTAGCCATATTTCGCATGCTTCCTATTTAAATGAAGTAAAGAGTTTCTTGCACGTGTGTGTGTTGGTATTATTAACCACGTGTGGGCTGATGCCAACATGGTGTCATTATCACATTTTTGCATTTTTTTTTTGAGTCGTACTATGATGTTCGTTTTTCCTGTGTACAAGTAAGTGATTAGTGCAGATCTGAAGATGATTGGTTTAATTGTCCACTGGAACAGAAATTCATGCGATACTTTGTGATTGCATTTGTGTAGTTAGTCAATCGATGGGTAGTTGTGATGGCAATAACATCTTTATTGTAGCATTCTAATGGCGCTTTAGAAAGGCAACATAGTTATTCATTTATATGCGTTACTGCAAGTAAAAAATTCATTTCGAAGCCTTACTTTCATTTCTGCTGGCTGGCTTGTTTTCATGGAGTCAAGTGCGGAAGGATAAACTTTGAGCACTTCTGTACTCTTTCGATTGTGTTACCAGAAATGAATTGAGATGGAAGTCAATTGTGAAGAAAAATCACTCTCTACCTCTTCATTTTTCTCAAGTTTTCCTCAATGACTGCGTGGAAATTACCTGTTTCTTACCCCCATTATACCTTGTCTTTCTTTCCTTGTCCACTAAATCTAAGCATTATTTTTTTTGCTGTGCATTATTGAAATCTCTGAAATTTTACGAAATTTCAAGAACTGATTCTTTCCATGTTTGTTCTGCAAATCCTGACAGTGTAATTCCTGAAATTTGCAATCGCTTCTTGTGAGCAATATTAATGGCATTTGTTTTCTGATACCAAGAAAACAGTCGGCTATAATACTTTGTTTATGCATATTTGTTCTATGGTTTATTGGTAATGTCATACTGTTTTCTGCTCATTGATAAATTCCATTCATTGTCTCTTCCGACGCATCAAAATTTTCTTTCCTCTATAAGTGTTCTTGTTATGCATAGGAGTGAGTAGCTACTGTTTTGAAACTGTAAGCACTATTCGTAAAGATATTTTTCTTCAGAACCAATATGGCTCATGTATTGTTCTCGTTTGTCTGAACAATATTTGAATGCACTAAGTCTTTTTGTTTGCATGACGCGATTATTTTATCGAAGTCAGATGTAAATAAATTGGATTTCATGTGATTACGTCTCTTATTACGATGACACAGTAGATAAGTTTTGTTTTGGTCTTGAATATTTACCGACGGTAAATGTAAGACTTAATTTATTCAGTCATATTAGTTCACTGATTTCTAAGATAGTGGGAACAGAATTACAATACAAGGTGTAGTAAGGAGGAAGTTCTATTCTTTGACAGCTGAAATAATTGTAGTGTTGGCGTTGCTGTTGGTTGTCTGCTGAGTTCGTTCACATTTCTTGCAAACTTATGAGGCTTTCAAGGTTATCCTTCCTTTCTTTCGTTCCCAGTAGTCATGAATTATCTGTCTATCCATCTATCATCCGTGGCAACCTCTTACCACAATGTTGATTTAAATATTTCTGTTTAGTTTTCTTTACAATTCGTGGTTCGTCCGTTCATTATTGTGCATTTCTGTAAGTTTCATTTCAAACTGTTTTGTGCCATAAATCTTGTGTGTTCACTGGCATACGTGTTCACTGGCATACGTGGTCAGTCAAGCATCTTGGTTTCATTTCGTTTAGTTGCTGGTGTGTACTGTTTTGACATACTGATCCAAAATTCGAAGTCACTTTCATATCTTCCGGAAGTTTCTTCATTGTATCATTTTGTTGTTACAATGAACTTTCGGAAAACATGAATCTCATGCTCATTGCCTATTTGAGAATGTATATTTAAAAGTTATATAAAAATCCAACTCTAGGATTTTTTATCTTGTGGAAAAGAATTATTAGAAAAGTTAATCAACACATTAATAACTACATAGTGTTTACTAAACGTTCTTGCATACTTTACTAACTTTTAACGCTGCATTGGGTTTAACATATGTATATTCAGTCGTTATGCTTTTTTTGCCTCAGAAAAGAATTTAATATTCATATGAAAAAAAGAGTACAATAGTTGTTAAAATCTTCATCCAAAAAATTGATATGTGAACACCATGTAGTAAAAAAAAAGAAGTATAGAACATTTTTGTGAAAATGAATTTGCATGTTATTTTAAACACATCAATTTCAGTCTCAATTGCATGGATACGCAGGAGTGTAAATTGAGAGGGCCTTTGGTGGTGATAAAAAATTGCTCCTTGACGGTATCTTCCTACTTGTAGAATTAAGCAAAATTTCAGGTTTCACAGTGAAAGACACTCCCGGGAGCAACGTATTCCTGCAAACAGTTGCAAAGACGAAGTATTACCATCTATTGCCACGCATACTTATGCTTGCAGTCCATCCCTTGTAAAAAGAGGTAAATTATGTATCATTCAGGTATTCTTGTCAACTCTTAAAATTCTAAATATGCTTCTACTGTCCCTGTATAACAGCTGTTTTCGTTAATTCATACTACATTTCATTATAAAAGAAAATTTGTCAACTCAATATATATTAACAAAAAGTACTCAGGAATTTTGGTGATGCATTTGCTAATAGTATTTCGTACTTTTCACAAGTTATGTAAAATTAATTTATCTCATGTTCTGCTAGTTTTGTCTTTCAAACATCATGATCAGTTGGTAAGAAACTTTAGTTGCGATCTACCATTCGATAAAAATGACTGCACAAATTCGAGAACGCAATTAATGTGTTCTAGTGATGATATCGCATAAGTAGCACTAGTCTTAGTAAAGTTGCCCCAGTAATTGTGTAGGAGTAGCTTATCTTTGCGTATCGGAAGTGATGCTGATGAATAAGAATAAATCCTTTCTTTACCTTGCAAGCATATCAAAATTTTATGTGCATAATGAACAGGAAAAGTTTATTATTTATCATATTTGGGATTTGAAGCAAAGACAAACTATCTTCTTGCTTTTCCTAAAAGATTTCTGAATCTTGCAGTTGTGTGGAAAGATGTTTCAGGATCATCATTTGTCTCAAATGCTTCACAGTCTGTTCCTTCTACAAAAAGTCAGTGCATTTCTTCAGCCCGCAACGTGTTTGCAGGTAAGCAAACAGCCGTGTGGTCAGCAGTGAACAGTGAGCTGAAAAATCGTCAAAAAATAGCTAAGGTTAGATTTTTCAAACGAATACATCTCATCGTGAGTACTTCACTGATGATATGTGATTAGGCCCCATAATTACTGTGTATTTTTAATAGCATTGATTTTCATCTTATTTCGTGATTCCGTTTAGGATTAATCTCATTGTTTTCGAAACTTGTACTAAGTTTCTAGAAGATGGTATTGAAAAGACTGATAACTGATTTCATGTGCACTTTAGTTTTAAGAGTGATTCAACGCATTTATGTGAGAAGTTATCTCTTTATATAGTTAAGAAAATAATAATTACATTTCAACGCAAGCATGTTGTAACTAGAGGATCTAATTTTAAAAGTATTGGTTTGAAGTTGTGGGAATGATTGTTTGCTTCTATTTGCTAATGAAAATTATGATATATTCAAGACTCATTTCATGTAAATATATATTTTATATTTATTAGTTATTTTGAAGCTTTACATCTTACTTTAAAAATTGCGTTGTCTTTATTAGTTGGTTGAAAGATTATTATTTCTTATTGTCACCAATTAAATTGGACGATTTGTTTAATGTTGTAACAGCTATTTCTCCGTATTTTTGCCATTTAAATTATGGGCATCGAGAAGCTCTCAACTAATATATGTTGTGAAACTTGTATTACACTTTCTATTGGAATTTTATAAATGAAGAATTTAAGCTACACTAATCGGCGTAGGCTTAAGACTATTCTGGTAATTAAAAATTCCTAACATGCATTTTATTTATTTTTAACAACTACCAAACTTGTCAAATCGTATGTATGTTCAGAAACGAAAAATGAGTAAATGAGACGTTTTTGAAAATTTTTTGATGCAAGCATCAAAAAAGTTGTTGTTTTAAGGTCTTAAAAAATTAATGTTCCCATTAATTTTTTTGCAGATCCGACCTACTCCGCAAGTGTCCGTCTCGAAAAATTCAGTTCCGGTTTCATCTGTAAATTCCTTACAGAATAGATCATTTCGTACTATGACCGAACGTAACCATTTTGGTATGCTTTTTTCATTAATTACAAGAAATAACTCTGTGCTATTTGCTGATTATCTTTTATTCCCAACTTGATATTTGCACTATAATCTTGCACTGTTACAATGCGGAAAAGAAAGGATTCCAAGTTATATTCAGGTTTATCAAAAGTTTTCTCCTCACAACCATCATCTTCATCAGAAGGCACCATTTGTTCACAACAACAAAGCCCTCAAGCTACCCCTGTCTGTAGTGCCAGTGCTTCTGAGAATTCAGCTTGTGATTATTCCCATTTGTCAGAATGTCTTGATTATTCGAAAAAATCAGATACCAGCAGTTTGGTTTCTTTAATTCTTAAGTTTTAGGCATTTAGCGGATGACAGTACTCCAAGTTGATAATTAAATTCAGCTCCTATAAGTAATATCAAATCAAAAAATTATTTTAACATCAACTTGTTGCCATTTCATTTTTTAAAGATTTGTATGGATTATAAATCATATGCAAATTGACTTTTGTTCAAATAATTTTTAATTTACAGCTGTACTTGGATCTTCGAATCAGAATCAAAGTAGCAAGGATGATGATGATGTTAGTGTTGCGGGAACAGTTTTTAATGAACCGTGGGATTCAAATGTTTGGGAAAATTTACTGGATTTAGCGCATTACGGTGATGAAAAGCCTGCAGCTCTTACAAAGCTTCATGATGGCAATCAAATTGTGCTAAGTAAAGCTGTATTTTCAGATCTTGAGTTATAGTTATAAAAGTAAATAGAAAAGTAGACAACTAAGGTATTGGTGAACTGCTTTTTCTATGAACTTTAGGTAAGAGGGCTTTTGTTTACATGAACATATCGCTACAGATATTGTGATTTGTATGCAGAGCAGTGTTAAATAAGTTCTGTTAGGCTGTATCATCGACTCTCTAATTTTCAGTTGTTACTCTGTTCTGAAATTGAAGTATTCATTCTTTATGATTTTTATGATAATAATTTCATTGGAAAAAAAATTAGAAAAAGATTTTTATAGGCGAAGCAATAGCTGAAGAAGGTGATGAAGAACTAATCTGTTCTCAAGAAATTAATTTCATTAGTGATAAACGAAGATCTCACCCTAGCGTAAATGTTGACGTTAATGGAGGTATGATATGGATTTTTTTTTCTTTTAATCTTTTTATATTTAAATTTGAGTCAAAAACTGGTAGATACTCAAATTTCACTCTTTTATTCATTTAGGTAATGATGATTACGGAATAGTGATGCGTAGATTTGATAATCATCGTGTAATGGATGGAGTAGAATCAGATGGTCGTCGTAATGGCATTGTAAACATAACTGCAAATTTTAAAAATGAAGATCACTGCTGCAAGCAACAGCATCTAGAAGCTATCAGGTATGATAAGTTATTTTTGTTATTTACGTATTTAGTAAACGATTTAAATTTGTTATGTTGTGTGTGTGTCCAATGTTCATAATTTGTTTTCATGTCATCGTTTACTTTTCCCTTATTTTAGCAAATCAAGCATGAGTGATAGTGTTGATCAGGAAGCATCGAATTCCGTTATGAATATTAGTAATGCAGAGGAGATATCAAACGGTACAGCTACTATGGATAGTCAGAAATCAACAAATACACATTCAGTTCGTTTTTAAATTATTTCAAGTATTTATTATTTTTTATTAAAGATTCCGTGCTTTGAAAACTTCATTGTTCCGTTCGTTTAAAAAAACGATGTTTCCGTAATTTTAGTTGCCGCGGATTTTGCCACGGCACTCGAAGCTCGACGATTCATGGTTTGACTCTCTAGATGATATACCAACAAGCATTCGTGCACTTTCACCTATTATTTCACCACCTCGTCTTAAAAATAGTTTGAGCGCGGATCCAGGTACGAAGATCCAAGAATATGTTGAAAGGTAAGTTGTTGAAATCTTTCGCTGCATTTCAAATTATGCTCATCGGCATTTACTGATTATTTCATTATTATCATGGATTTACTACTCTTAGGCTATCTCAAGAAGAAAATACTGTCTTTGGTGCCACTTTGCGTCGCTTTATTGAATGCACTTTTGAAGCAGAAGAATGTGACCCACAGGTTTTTTTTTCATCCTATTTTTAATGTTTCTTGATATTTAACATAATTTTCAATATATATTGGGATACTTGATGAATTTGTGCTGTAGTAGTTACAAAATATGGTAGTTAGATTTCTGTTTTTGATTCAGAAGTAGTATATGATTAAACTCGATTTAGTTTCGAGCTTTGAAGTTTTCTACCGAAGTCTGCTTGAAAAGTGGTATGATCTCATTGAAATTCCGAAATATTGGATGCTTGTAACGTTTTAGGTGGTTATTCGAAATGTTCGTCAATTCTTAAATGGGCTAAAAAATTATTTGGTTAAACACGGAGAGGGTGAATTGCATGATCTTATTGAAAAAGAACGAATACGTCTTAATGCGAATGAATTTCTGAATATTGATGCCATCCTAGAAGCTGTTTTGCACAAAATTGTTTTGTGTAAGCTGAGCATTTTTAGATTGTGCTGAACATTTTCTCTCTTCTACCTAGTTTTTTTTCATCTTATGTGTTAACAACTTTAATTATTTTTATGATGAAAAAACGAGGTATGAAAGGATGCTCTCTGTTATTCCATCCATTCCAATAGAATATTTGATTCAGATCCGGTAAAGCCTCATCTTTATCACTTGATGATACGTGAGTATTCCAAAAATGGTTGGCTTCAAGCACTTTCGGAAAATCTTACTTACGTTCGCACATTGTCTCCAGAGCAATTAGGCTTTGGAGCTCGGTCTAAGGTAGCTTTTCACTTAAATTCACTGAATTTTTACTGAAATTCAAAGGATGTTGGCGATCTTTTATAGATGACTTATGTTTCTCATAGTACCTATTTAAACTTATTGGTTTCAGTTTTCACCTCCTACAACGCAAAAAATGGAAACCATCAAAATTTGCTTGCGAAAAATGCAGCACCATTATTCCCCTTTGAAGAAATTAGAAAACTTATTGCGTGTGATATTTTTGGCGATTGGCCGAATGCAAATCTGTGATAACTCTAATAATGATATCGAAAACCATGATCCCGTCAGTACAGAAAGCAACAAGATCAAAATTTTACCACCTGCTGATGGTGAGCTTGTGATCAAAATTATATGCCTGTCCAAGATCATAAAATAGTTTATGCCATGTTGGTCAAGGATTAAGTTTATGATAGAGGCTGAAATTCTTAACAATATTTTTAGTTAGTTATGATTAACTTGTGTAACTATCAATATTGTATCATAATTTAACTACTTGGTATTTTCAAATCATCAGTCATTTAGCGACACTTGTTAGACACTTACTTTCGAATGTATATCTTTAAAAACGATTGGAAATGTCAATTAAAATCAATTCAGAATTAGTGCGGTGGTTGGTGTACTTGTTGGCACGTACGTCAGCAGTTGGTTGTGAAGTAGAGGCATGGTATATGTGGGAACTACTTCCGAAGCAACTACTGACTACTGGTGATTCAAGTTACTACCTCATTGCCTTATTTTCGGCTATCGATGTACTCAAAAATACTGAAAGTATTCGAAAATTGGGACAGGTGGATGAGTCATCCCTTGCGGTACGCTCATTTTTAAGCAAATTGAAGCCTCAGAATATCGTCGAAAATTATGCAATTATTTCTCTTTATAGGAAGATGGATCTTACTGTTCATCGCTAGGCAGTGTAAGTCCGGTGCTTTCATCCTCATCGGATGCTTTTGTCAAAGTAGCTGTGCCAGATGAATTGGATGGATCTATTCGGTACCATACATTTCCTGGAGTGCCTCAAATGACTGCTGGAAAGTTATGTCGCGTTATTGCACATCAGTTTGGTATTACAAATCCTGAAGATCATGGATTGTTCGTTGTTAATTTTTTAAATTTTCTGGTAGATCAGATCATAAGATTGTGCAGTTTGAGAACTAAAGCAATGCGATATGGTATTTTTTGGTAGAGCAAAAAAATGAGTTGTGAATGCTATTTTTTGTATAAGTTTAATTTTATAGTTTTGGGGCAGGTCATCTTAAATATGGCATTTCAGATATCTGCTTGTTGATGATTACGAGACTTGCCTTCTGGCTAACGAATGTCCTGATTTAATTCGGCATCAGCTGAGACAAGCTCGAAAGACATATCTCTTTGCATACAAGCGACATGAAGCAAAGATTGTTTGGCCGAAGTTCTCACTGACATCTATTTCATAGTATGGAATAAGCTAATACCCTTAGAGACAGACATAAGTACAGTTTATTTTTAAACTTAGAAATGGAAAAGGTGAAGTAGAAAGTCAGTATTTTAAATGTCATGAAGTGAAAAAAATATTATCTTAGATTAATAATGGTGAGGAATTCATTTTGTTTACAGAAGTTTCTCACAATTTTCCCGATTGTATTACGGAATTTTATTTAAAAGCATTCCACTTATTTCGGTTTACACTGTAATTTATGCCATTGTATATATAATCTGTTTTGCTCATAATGTCGCATTCTCCGTTTGCTTGTTCTTCGCGCAGTTAAGGAAAAATTGCTTGAACTTGAAAATTTTTGTTTCACAATTGTCTTCAGTTTTGTCCAAAAAAAGGTATTAAATTTAAAAATACCATCACTTCTCCTCTAGTCAAGAAATGGAATTTAACTTTTAAAATATACAAAATATTAGTAATTTGTAACAAGAATTAGATTAGTATAACGCAGTAGTAGTAGTAGTAGTAATATACTTTTTACAAAACTATTTTTGATTTCATAATTCTTCAGCACTGTACAGCAAAGTTTTACCTTCTTGGCTTTTTGTTGATTTTATTTTATTTCCAATCCTACATATTTCGGAAGCAAGTGTATTTCGTTTTAATTCCTGTTTTAGATCATGCGATATAAAAGGTTTATTTATTTTGTCAGTAGTTGTGAGAGATACTACTTAGGATTGTAAATTATAAAATTTCAGGTAATATTAAACTAATTTATAATAGATCGTATGTTTTCTAATTGATGCAGATAATGTTCATTGTCATATTAAAATTCGTGCCGGTTTGTAGATGACTGGTTAGAAAGCAGATAGTTTTTTAAGGCTTGCATTGTATAAAACACTGTTTCTTTGGAAAGTGGTTGTTCTGAATTTTTTGAGAATGTTGATGAAGTTATTTTAAGAACTGTCGTTTTTCTTGTAAATATTAGGGAAGAATTTTAACCAATAAATATTATATGTCAGTTGTAGAACAAGGAAAGAATCTCACTGTTATTGTTATTCGAATGAATGCTTTGAATTTCCTGTATCGTACATTTCTTGCGTTCAAGCTTGTTTGTTCATATTTTTATTCTAACGAGAAATTATTACTTGTGAAATACTGAAAAAGAAATAAAGCGATTTTTGAAATTTCGTTTTTGGCTTGTCAGTTATCGATTTATTCGAGCAGTTTAAAAACATGTGAAACTTGTAGATTCGAGCGTGTTTGTAGAATGTTCTCCAGTTAAGTCGCAATAAGCGATATGAAAATCTGATTTGAAGCCATGCAGTGAGTCCGTATATTAGCCGAAGCTTGCGTAGTCAGTTGTAGAGTTAGTTCTATTGTGCACAAAGTTTTGAGATAGCATTTCCTTCTTTTTGATGCTATGAATTAACGCTATTTCTAGATTTTATGTGCTGTAAAATTCTACGACTGATAAATTCTATCCTCTATTTTGGGTCACTTTTGGTAGTCAGAGTTGATTGAGAAGATATTTTTCAGTTTGCTTGTTAGATCAAAAATTGTTGGGACTAACAGGTTTCAGTCCTGTAAATGACATTCGTTGATTTGTTGTGCATTCATTCCTCAACTTAGCATTACTAACTTCTGAATTTAGGCTTGCGATGTTTACATCACGACAATTAATTCGGTCGATTGTTTTCAAGCAGCGTTTTATCCACGTAACTGTACCCACTGCTACTACTGCTAATAGCACTAAAGAAGTAATTCTACTCACTGCTGTGAATGATATTCGTAATTGATTGGAAAAGTTATTGTAGATATATCAAGGTTGTGACAAGTCATTTGAAAAGTAGTATTTTCTACTAGTGCACTCCCGGCATTTAAAAATTTTGTATATGATGGGAAGTTTTTTTATTACTTTACACTGAAGCGTATTGTTCAAGGTTTAGGGTTATTGGCTTTCAGTCTCGAATTGTATCTTGCACTAATTTTATTTGATTGAGGAGTTCGATAAAGAATGACTATGAAATGATGCTGGATTTATTTTTTTTATTCGAAGACTTAAGGGTTATTTCCAAGTAACGTTTTTGGTTAGAAAAATGATAAGATTCATGATATTTTTCTACTGCGTGTATAATCGCTTCCTTTCTCACACTACAGGCACTAAAAGAATTGCGGAAAAAAACTGGATACAGCTATGTGAATTGTCGAAAAGCAATAAATGAATTCGGACTAAATAATCTAAATGAAGCTGTTAAATGGTTGAAAGAAATGGCTGCTAAAGAAGGATGGGAGAAAGCTGCGAAGTAGTAATTCCTGCTTATTTGATATGTTGTGAGCAAGGTTTTCAGTATGTACTGAACTTCTAATCATGGTTTCTTCCAGACTTAGTGGTAGGCCGACAAAACAGGGTGTCGTATCTGTATTAGTTGAGAACAATAAAGCAGCTATAGTTGAAGTTAATTGTGAGACAGATTTCGTTTCCAGAAATGAAAACTTCAAGCAATTAGTAAGTTTGAAATGCATTTACTGGCTAAAATTATGATGCGTTCTAGCTTGAAATTCAAGATTACTTACAAAAGTTTGCTGAAGTAGTGCTGCTTCTGATCGAGCTTTTTCTTGTCCTTTGAGCGATTTTAAAAAGTGTAGGGACCAAATTTTATTCAAATAAATGAAACAAAAAAGTTTTTCTAGTTATTACTTGGGTATGAATTTCTCTTTTCAATTTTTTTAATCGGTAATTTTTATTGTATTTCAGGTAAAAAATGTAACAACAGCTGCTTTACGCTCTGTCGATCAGAATACCACACAGGAAAAAGGCTTTAAATTGTTTAATTTAAGTATGTAATTATTATGAGAATATACATGTTTTAGGAACATGTTGTATAGTCTTTATGTTTTAATTACGCTTTTCCTATTTTAGATAAACTAATTTTCATACTAGATTTGCCCGAGTGTTTGCGAATTTTTCGATTTTTTAGGTTTTATACGAATTGGTGAAGTGGTAGTATTTGTATTAAAAAATATTGACAGAGTCTCCATAAAATTTTATTTATCCTCCGGCATCATTGTAAGATTTCGTAAATTACTGGAGAGTTTCATGGACATATTTAATCGTTATTTTAATTTTATAGATATGGATTCTTTACGAACATCTGAAAACTGCAAGTCGATAAAAGAGTTAATCATTGAAGCAATTAGTAAACTTGGTGAAAATATATCGATCTCAAAGGCACAAGTGCTGATAGCTCAACCTAACGTTCAGCTTTTCAGCTATGCACATCCTAGAGGTATTTTTTGTATGACACAGACTTAGATATATTTTTAATTCAGAAGTTTTTTTTTTTTTAATTTTTTCATGTTAGAAAAGCTGGGAGCATCCTAGTTTGAAGCAGCACAAAACTAATAAATGAAGTAAATTTATCAAGAAGGTACTGAGGCAGTATTTATGGGGAAGTATGTGTCAGTTGTCGGACTAAAACGAACACCTAACATTACTTTTCCAACTGAAACACTCGGGGAACAGTTATGCCAGCACATAATTGGAATGAGGTAATTTAATGATAATTACATTTACATTGAATTTTATATCAAAATCGAGCTTAATTTTAATTTTAGTTTTGAATCTTAATGACAGGCCTTTAGCCTGGCACTTACTAAAATGTTGCTTTGTCAGAAGCAAATGCGTTTCAGATCCAAAACACTTGGTACTCCTCCATCTATTAAAGAAGATCAAATTGTGAATGTGCCGCAAAAAAAAGCAGAAGAAGATGAATTAAATGCTTTTTATGAAGGGGAGGTCAGTTCTTCTCTAACACTTGACTTTGATTGCTTTATGCATTTCCGGTTGCTAAAAATGTTCCAGAAATATATTGATTTTAATTTCTTGTTGCTTCAGAATTTTGCATTATGTGTTCAGTTTGAAAAAAAACTATTAGCAATAATTTTGCAGTTCTTAAAAATTTGTTAAATTTATATGAAAGAAAAATTGTAATTAATATCATAGTTTTCATCCGCATAATTCCTTTTATACTGTCTATTTTTTAGACATGTTTAGGTTGTGCATATTTATTTTTATCAGAAGTTCATGTATTCCTGACTTTAAATTTTGCCATAAAGGTATTGCAAAACAGAAAATCTTTTAAAACTTTCTCAGAAGACAAGGGATTTGTTGACAGTGTGATGAATTCCTTAAGTGGAACCTGATTAAGTAACAGTTTTATCTGCGAGAGGAATTTAATTTAATTTTGAATTTAAGGTGACACGCATTAATGAAAATGAAACTCAACTTCTAAGACAGGCCTTCATGCTGAACCCATCACAAACCGTTCATGAATATGTTACTAATCATGGAGCAAGCATTGTTGACTTTTATCGCTTTGAAATGAATGAAAATGATAACGGTGAAGTTACCGATAGTTAGATTTTGCCAATCCTTATTTAAATTTCGTTATGAGTTACTTTTTGAATAAAGTTTTTGAATCCTTTTTGTTCATTAACAACGCATACATCATAATTAACTTTCAGACACTGTCTTCAACTGATTTGCTGAGATATGCCATCCATGTTTTTCTAAATTAATAGTTTGATCATATATATCGTGATTCTATAGTTTCTTTTTTGTGAGTACTGCCAGCATTATATCAGTAGCTGCACCTGTGAATTCTAGTATATTATAATCTTTCGAAGACAATTTAGCAAAACATAGGACGAACTTCAGTTGTATAAACAAATCGTTGTTTTCATGTTTAAAAGTAAGTTTTTCCTTAATCGCTGATTTTTCTGGAGGTACATGTTTTCATAGTCATTTCGTTTAGTTAAAACTATTTATTCAGTTGATATAATACTTAGAAATGTGTAGCGTGATATGTAATGAAAGGGTCAGTACTCAAAGTTATTTTTCGTTCTTTCTTAAATACCACAAAATCTGTTCAACTGCTGCAAAGTAATTATTCTATGTTACTTCTTCTACATTTTCTCTGTCTGCTGAAGTGAACATAAGAATGCGCGTGCTACCATTCCTTGTCATTGTTCTGCCTTTTTCCTCAGTGACTTTGTTTTCAGAAATACTGCCCTTTGATTTGTCTGTACTTCACCTGTACTGCAATATAAGCAGCGATGCTGCTGCAACGACCAATATTGATGTTCGTTGGATATCTCGTAATGCTTGACCTTCTACAACATTTTTTTTAATTCTGTTTTTCTTTGTTGAACATGACGCAGCAACTTTATTTTGTGCAGCTGATTCATTCAACGTTTTGCCAATTTTCAGAAGTCATTTTTGTTTCAAATATATAAGTAAGGTTGTAAACTTTATGTATGGGACAAAAATCTCCCGATTATTTTTAGATTTTCAATCAAAAAGCACGAAAAAACTGTTTCCTAATAGAGTATTACTTCACTGAAACGAAATTATGCTGGGCTCGTTTGTTGTTTGCTCGGTAGTGATTTAGACTTATTCCAGTTTTTGCAATCAAATTAACTTTTTGTGGAAATTTGAATACAAAATTTATCGTTTACAAATTAATAATTTCGTTACTGATATATACGAACCGTTTTGAATGTTGTGAGAAATAAAACTTTAAAGTTTAAACGACTATTTTCTCTGAGTCTGAGTAGTTATTTGTTTATCTCTATTCATTTCGAAGAACTCATAATTTATTGAGCATATCAGATTTACAGTTAATCCTTCCAACTCTATAATTTAGTCTGTTTAAACCGAGTGAAAGTAACTTTTTCCTATTAACTCGTTAAAAAATCAATGTGCGCAGTGTGTGCAGCTTAAATTTTGTGGCGAAAAATATTCTGTTGTTGAAAGAGTGAATAATTCTTTTAACATAGCGAAATGAGTTTATTTCCAGCAAAATAAGCTATTTCAATACATGTCTTTACATAATTAAACGAAATTTATAACTATCAATTATTTGAAAAAAATTAGTTACTCACTTAAGCCGAGTAGTAGTGGAATGTGTTCCAAGAGACTTCGTTTCAGATTCTTCTTTCAATTTTCCCTTCGACTCAGTCCATAATAGTTTTTTCAGAATCATGGAATTCTAAAAGCTTAATATTTTACTGATATCTATTTTGTGAAAAATAATAGTTCGTAATACGTTTTGCACAGATAAACTGGTTTGATTGTAGAGTTGTGAAGTATTAAGTCCTAATTCCATATTTAATGCAAGTTTATGAAACTGAAAGGCCAAAATTGATATGCTGAGGGTGAACTGGTATAATCGTATCATTAATCCTAATTCAAAATCAGTTTCAGAAGGAAGAATATAGTTTTGCTGGATGTGTAAACTTCAGTGCATCTATATAACTTTTCAGTAAATATATTTTCAAAATATGAAAGTGAATTTAACAGTGATTATTTTTGATAACAATCTATGCTTTGCGTTATTGTGAGTTAACACATTTGGAAAATAGTTCGATCGCTGTACTCAAACATCTAAAAGTGATGAAGTCATCCATCTGCTCGTATGCTGCTTAACTGATTTTAAGATTAATGACTGAGTGACTGTATCAAAAAATAATGTGCAGTGTGGATCATTCCTTCAAACTGCATAATTTTTGTCGCGATTTATAGAAGAATTAATCGTCAAGTCTTAAACTCAGTTATCGCATTTCGCATTTCAAATAAGGTAGTGTAGTTTATGCGACTTCCACTTGGAATGGAAATTAAGTGCAACCTCTTGCATATCTAATCTTTTTTGCTACTGCATTATGAAATGTTTGAAGAAGAATGATAAACAAGTGTCGTTTTTTAGTTACAAGTGTTCCTTATTAGTGCACAAATGAATCATTTTTTGGCTTCCTTCTCAAAAAGGTTATTATTATCAATATAATAGATTGTATTTTAATCATCATGACTGAGTAATGACCATAGAATGACCTTGGATGTGACAGGTGGCTAGTTTATTCCTTGCGAGTGTTTAGAGTTGTTGTGACCGATATGGTGACGATAGTTAAAACCATCATTATCAGTACAATCACTATTATCGTAGTCTTCATCCGCAACGATCTATCACTGCACGCAAAGAGTAAATTAGTGACAACTTTTCGTTCCTTTTTGCGATCTTCACATTGCATTTATTTGTTATTTAATCTCTTATTCCATCGGCATATTACAGCGCATTTATGTAAAATAGTTTTATTGCAGCAAATTATTTGCTTTTTTCTTTTGAAACAATTTATTTTCTATTTCAACTCTGACTGATAGCACTGCTGAATTTGATTGAACGCATTCCTTTAAGCTACCAATACTTGTAGTTTTGCCCCTTTCTTGATGACTTTTTTAGCGAACACATTTTTCAGATGACCTCTGACATATAAGATGACTCGTATATGTCACTTGATATTTGATTAATTTGAGTTAGTCACTTGAAAGAATTGTCATACTTGAAATAACTTCCAAAATTATTATTTTGCATCAGTTTTATTCAGCCATAATTTATTGTTTAACTGGTGAAGAAATAGTTTACTTGCTGTTAGCTTTAATTTTGAATATTTCCCTGGTGGATTATACTTGCGGGTAGAAACAAGCTGTTCATAGTGATTAGTTCATATTGCTTCTTGATAAGTGATGGCAGTCATAGTAAATATCAGTGATAATGACCAATAAATTACGCATGTTCTAACCATTTGTTTCTAATATTGGCTCATCTCTTAAGTGGACTTATCTTGGTCAAGAAATGATTGTAACTAATTTTATCATCGTATTGCTGGCATCGATTCCACTTGATGTTGACTTTGACTTTGTTCAAATGGTCAGTCCCTTTATCTCGCTAATTCTCCACTTCCACTTATTCATTCAAGTTTTGAAATCACTGCATGAATTTTGAGTTTTAATAGTTTTATTGCAATCATTCACTTTGTTATGGTGAATACACACACATTTCTCGTACAATTAGTCTTAGGATTAGTGAATTTGATCATTTCAACACTGCGTCTTATCATTACCACCTCTACTGTCGCAGATATAGCACTGAAACATTGACGTTGAAAAATTTCAGTTTATTATTAAACAGATGTATCTCTAAATTACTGAAATTTGACAGCTTTTGTTATGAATTTTTGCTACTTTCGTTGTTGATTTTAAATTTATTTTGAGTTTTTGCTTAATACAAATCTCAAATTGAACTAAGAAAACCTATTAGAGGAGGTTTTCTAAAATATTCAAAGTTTTACTGGTGATCTTTAGATGTATTCATATGAAGACTTGTTTGAAATATTTTCTGAATTCTTCACTTACAGAACTGCTCATTATTACAGTAATTATGCTAATGTTCGGTTAGTAGAAGATTATTTAAATATCATAATTATTGCGAATATTAATTCCTTGGAATCAGATGTTGGATAAGATGAAAAGTGGTTGTTGTGATCTGAAGAGTATAGTTCAATGAAATTTTTAGTGTGGCTGTAATGAAGTAGAAGAATGAATGAATATCAAAGAAATCGTTTCCGAAATTGGGCATAATCCAAAATACGAATGTTGAATACTCACTCTGAAGTAAAAGTATGAAAGCAAGTGGTGTGAAATATATTTTCAAAGATCCATCACGTTTAATGATGTATTTTTACGCGTATATGAACTCAGATATACTTGCTTATATAGAAGCATGTGTGTGAGAAACTTTAAAAAGCATGAAGTTGTGAGTTATTTGCATATTGCATTATTTATTTAAATTTGTGGGTAAAATGTTTGCTGAAGAGAAACTTTGAGGGACGAAGAAATGTATGAGTTATTTATACCAAAGTTATCCTTCTAATGCTTTTAATGATAATCCCCAAATAGAATTCATTAACTCTTTTTCAGTCGTTTCTTCCATAGTTGTTTTTCTCCCTTCAAAATGTATATTTCACATTTCGCCTTCATTTCCTTGAAATTTTACATCAAATACTCATTTTATTTTTATATCTGTGTATTAGACTAATGCTGATGTTAGTATTAAGTAATTTATCAGAATCCTTGCCAACTAACTTCTAATTTTGTTAGCTTTGTGAGTACTTGAAAATATTCAGAGTGAGGGAAATACTTTTTTTACTGCAATGCGTCACTTTTATTTTTCAGATTGACTGCTGCAAAGAGCAGTTGAAACTGAGAATGTCATAGAGATGAAGTTTTGTGCCAACAAAGTGTGAAATTTATGCTTGCTATGATGTGACATTTGTGTGAAAATCAAAGTTTTTCACATACTTTTTACGTCAGATTAAAACTATACGATATTGTCATTCACTTCATAATATTTTACTATCAAATTATAAAAAATATTCAAAATGTTGACAGCTTGCAAATTGTGAATATTTAACTTAAATTTGAATGAAAAAACTTGGATATATGGATGGTAAGGCAAATATTTTTTGTACAGAAATACTTTGTCGTGGAAAGTGTTCAGTATTTATTAACGGTAAGCGCAAACAAGTCTGAAATTGGAGGTAGTAATTGCTGAATTTGAAGGAAAAAGGTAAAGAAGTTTTATGTTACTTCTCGAAAATTGAACGTTTAAGCAGAGAAGTGGTAAAGCGAAGTGTGCCACTGTCTTTGTTTTATGGTTTCAGTTTGCAACTTTTTGAAAAAAAACTTTCTGCAATAATTTTTCGTTTTATCTCACTTTTTCTAGTTTGATATTGAGATACTGCTCCATTTTTTTAATTACATGTAAATATTGATGTTTTGGATTGTGTAGTGCAGGATTATTTGGGCATATTGGTGTTCTTAGGTAAGTAAGAGGTGTGATATCACTTGAGATAAAGTTAACAAGTGTTTATAATTCCCAAGAATATCGTTTCTCACATCTCACTTTATTTTAATTGAGCTGAAAACTGATGTAAGTTAGCATTTCGGTCACTGAATTATCTGATTTCCTAAAACATACGTGTGATGTAAACACATGCGTGTAATGTAAAGTTTATTTTATTACTTCAAAAAAATTCAAGTCTTTTATGTTGAAAATTACTAAATGAACTCTGTTTCTTCGCATTACGATTTTAAATAATTAGCCAACGTGTGAATTTTTCTCCTTTTAACTTCCAAAAACTTTTCGCATAGAAACCAGAAAGAGGTAAGTTTTGACGCATACAGTAATTGATTTCGTTTCTTACATGCCTTTTTCTTAGTAAATTAAAGAAATTAACTGCTTATTATTACCGTAAAATTGAACGTAAGTTCGTCAACTTTCAATTTCTAAAAGTTGCAGGTCGTGAACTATTTTTAAAGTAAACTGTTCATAAAGAACACCTAAATTCCCCATTATAAATAATACTTAAGATGAATACAAATAAAATCCTTCTGATTTGATTATATTAAAGCAATTTTCTGCCTTTATAAATTTTTTTCTGTTTGATTGAACCTCAAAACAAAAGAATTTGATAAAAGCAGCGATTGACAAATAGTTTAGTTCCGTAGTCGCTTCCATTAAATCAGAGACAACAGTTTCAATTTCAAGCATTTACTTGCTAATTTGCATAAAAAATTACTTTTTGTGAAAGGTTTTCTTGTTGGTAATGAATGACTGCTGGGCTAGAATGGCTTTATTAGTGTTTTCATAGTTTTCGTCTTGATATAAACACAATGTTCCATGCTTCAATGTGGATTTTGCTTTACTCAGAATACTTGGCAAGTTGGGTCTGACTTATCAAACAATCAACTGTTAGCTTTCCTTGTTGTAATATATGTAATCTTAAAGCCCACAAAAGGATTTATTTTATTACTTACGGTACGTGAGTGAATTCCACCGAATTTAATTTGAAAGAGTATAATCACAAAGTTATTCATTTGCAGAATTTGACCAGTGGAAATGGTTCACGTTACATCCTATCAAATATTCAGAGAAATTGACATGAAGTAAGTTTTTTTTAATAGATTCACTGAATCGTTTTTCAATACTTCTGCGTAGTCATTTCCGATCAGTTCGTTCAAATGCAAGTAGAAACAAGCAATAAGTTCGTTTTTCCTCGATGAACTCATCGATATCTTCTTGAGTCCTTAAATATTTGACTTTAAGAATATGGTAATTTGTGCATTTGAAAATTAAGCAATTAATCCTTATTTTACTTCGAATACTCTTCATTGCTCCTCCTTTACACCTCTTTCTGCGTTGAACTTTGATTGAGTTATTTTTTAGTCATTAAGTAATTATTTAAGCGAAATGTGCGGAAAGCGTGTGATCAATAAGTTCACTTTGATAGCGAACGTCTTTCAGAATGGCATTATATTTTCAACCTGTTCATCAATCTAATCACATTCAGGTCAGGGCCTTTTCATGAATCTCATAAATCACAATCAAGTCAAGGTCTTTTCATGAATCTATAACTTCTAGATGTTTTTGAAGCATAAAACAAAAACAATAAATTTCTTTTTCAAACGTTTTGAAACTTATTTACAGATCCTTCTCATGTCATTTGAGAATAAGAAGATTAGAAGTGAGAAATTTATTTTTAAAGTTATGGACGGAATCGATATCTGAGTTTTCTGGCAAGATTTCAGCGATCATTTTTTGTTTCGCAAAAGATCAAAATGCTGCGAATTAGAATGCTTTCTTGAGTAAATCAGAAATTTGCCTGATGATGAAAAAGTGAAAAGAAATTAATGATGTGAAAGTATGTGATTTGACAGTTTTGAAAGTAATTAAGTAACTTTTAAGTAACACTTTCAGCGTTCAACCTTCACTTGTGTGTTCAGTCTGTCATTTTAATAAAAGTTGAAATTAGTTCAACTATACTGACAATTATTTTACTGTGACTTTCACTTACCACCCGGTGATTTTATCATTGCTTTCGCATGCTAACTGTAACTTTCACTGTGCTGGAAGGCATTGAGTAAGGAAGTTTTTCTGTTGCCCAACTGCCTCTTTAATATTTTTACGTAATTAACTTCAGACTTGATAGCATTTATTCATATTTCTGATGCGAAAATTGCTAAATGATCTGAGCACAGCAGTATGAATATTGCTTGAAAGCTTTCATTAATATATGTAATCATCTGAATCTTTCTTGATTCATCTGATTTCTAGAGCTTACTTTGATGTATCATTTTGTGTTTTAATTGAGAGAGCAGAGATTAGGATTGATATGAGAAGCAATTCTCAACATTAAAACTTCCACTTCAACCTGTGTTCTTAAGCACAAACAGTTTACATACTAATTTCCTTTGCAAAGGTACGGAAGTAAATATATATTACGCATTCCTTATTCAAAAACTTTGTGCTATGCAATTTATTTGCAACCTTTTGCAACGTCGGGCAGAAAGATACATAATTGTTGGAATTCAACAAGGAGGAATCAGAACCTTCAGATATTTTAAATTAACTCTAAATTTTGCTGTGCACGTATGTTTTGCAGTTTTTGACAATTAATGCACCGAATCCAGGTGGATTTAATCTCGACAGATTTCTTTACTTTCACTCTTCTTTCTGTCTCAGTGCAGGTCATCCATTTATTACTTACAGCAACATTCATCCAATTCACTATTTTCTTCTAGCTGCAATAATTTCCAACACGTCACAGTTAAACTTGAAAATTCATCATTTCGCTCTTTCCCTAATTTTGACTAATTCCTATCATTTCAAATTACAGGCAAAAAAAATTCTAACTAAATGGACGCCATTTGTTGTTTGTTGTGGTCGAATGTCACTGACACTGCTGACTTATATCTTTTCAGTACACTTTTTATGTGCCTCTCACGTAATTATCTTCATATATAAAGCCTTTAATTTCTGAACATTCCAAGTCCAGAGAGACCTTTTCGTTACATTATTACTTTATAATTATTCGCTCGAGCAAAAAACTAATTGTTTTGAAAAATCGAAATTGACCTCAAGCTTTAGTAAGCGTGGCATCTACAGATTTTCAGCACTAGTTTCTTGCTCATTGCCTTCGTTGTCAAATACTTTACCTAAAGCCTTTCTTTAATTATTATCTCAAACTTTTTTCATTACTTCAGTTCTGCGTCATTTTCGAATTTACTTGTGCAAATAAATTATCTTAGTCAGCTAAAGTAAATTGAGTCGAGTTACAACTAAATTGCTCATTAGCTTAGCAGACCAATCAAATGAGCTAGCAATTAGTTCAATTGGTAATTTATCCACTTTTTCAAGTTGTCTTTTAGCATTATAATCTTGGTCAAAAATGAGTCTGAAGAGGTATTACTGCTTTCTGCCCATTTTCAGTCAAAAATCAAAATTTGTTTCATTAACGTTGAACATCTGCGCTACTTCTGTTTAATTAATATTTGACGGACGTAGCATCAATCAGTTTCTTTTTTCAGTATAAATAAATCTCGTGTTTCACGACTATCGAGACGAAAATTGCTCAGATTATTATTTCTTTACAATGTTTTTTCTCATTTCACATCTAAAATTTATCCATTTTTGTCTAATTCTCACAACAAATAAATGTCTGAGTTTTGAGACAAAGTATTTTGGAATTTGTGGCAACAAGCAAACGTATTAGAAGTGAGTTTGCAGATGAGCTTGATAATTTAAGTCGAGCACAAATATTTGCATAGTTTACATAGAAAGTAAGCCTTTTTTGAAATTGAAGTGTGTTTATCTCGTAGTGAAAAAATATAAAGCAGAGAACAGTTTTTGCTAATCTGTTTGCTACTCATTCACTTTTCATCGATGTCAGTTTACTTTTTGATTGATAAACGGAAAATTTGTATTTTCATCGTTTAAATATTAAATTTGTAGCAGTAATGAATTTAGTTGCTCAGTCAAGTCTTTATGTTACTCTGTGCTTTCTTTTACTTCGCTAAACATTTTAGTTCAATTTTGCCTAATTTTAGTACTATGGCAGATATGGAATTGCGAGCATTCGAAACTCGTCTCGATACAATGGTTGATCAGATAGGTGAAGAATCGACTGAGCTAATCATCGAGAGACCGCGGTTTGCTCACGCGGTTATGGTGTTTGCTAACAGTACTGAAGCAGGCGAATTATTCACAGTAAATTTTTAACTATTCTTTTTCACTGGTTCGTTACCATTTTAGGCCAATGCATCAATTCTCCACATAAATTCATTCAATTTTTCTTTTACTTTAAATTACCAGAACTTATCATAAGTTGTGATCAATACAGTTAGATATTGACATCTTTGCTAATATGATCGGTCAGCTGTGGTGATGTGGGCAGTATGGATGACTGCACTTGCGATAAATTAATCGTATTTTAAATCTTCTAATGCATATTTTAATTTAATTATACATTTGTTGCTTTCGAATTGTGTAGAGGAAGTGATCAAGCTTGCAATGAATTATGCAAAAAAATGATGCGCTTGTGTCTAGTTACTGATCTACCTAAATATTTTTGCACTGGCTTTCATATTCAACGTGACGGTTGGCTGTTTACCATAAAAAGACAGATTTAACGACAGCATTGATGTAAATGTTAAAAATTTAGAAAATTTGGCTTACTGAGGGTGTAATATACTTTAGAAAGCAGCAGCATGAATCTCGAGTTCAGTCAATAAACAGTCCTTGAAATTATTAATGAATAAATATTTCACTAGATTAATGCATACAATTTTGCAGGCTTCTCGAATCAAAATGTTAGATCCGATATATGTTCCGGTTGCTGCAACAACAAATGGACATCAAACATTCCATCATTACTCAGAGTGAATTCATTTCTTTTGAAATCGCTGTTTTTTTTAACATTTCAAATCTAAAATTCAGAGCTTAAAGTGAGGCATTATAGTAAATAATGGATCAGTTAATGAATTTCAGAAGTATGAATACTAGTGTAATCGTGGGATCAACCAGTGATTCAGAATCAGAAGTAGTAAATCAGGAATTGGAAGATGATATTCAGAAAGCGCTGAGAAAGCTTGAAGAGTCAAGAAATCTACTTGATGAACCGATCACATTAAATTCAAATGCAAGTCATATAAAAATTAAGCTAGCAAAAAACTGGCCACTCATCTAAATTTTAGAAATTTAGATAAAATACGAAAGGATATCCTCCTGTCTCGATGTGCAGTTATCAAATCTTTTGGGGATTCTAGTAATTACATTCAGACACTAGCAAAAAGCATTACTATTCTCAGACACATTTTACCATTTTGCAGAAAAAAGTTCTATCAAACGATTCTCAGTCTAGTAGTATCATTGGAATGAGCGATAAATACTCAAAGTCATCCCAAGTAATCTTATTTTATAATAATTTTTTAAATTGTGATCACTTACTTTCCACTGCTGAATGCAATGTTGACCAATTATGGTATGCTTAAGCAAATGGTAGCTTCTGTTGCATTCTAAGTATTGTCCAAATTTTTACTGCGTTACAATTTTATATGGAAAGAAGTGTGTAAAAGTTTTCCCCGAAAAATTTGCAATATTTTTACATTTTGGCGTCAAAGTTAAAAGTTAAAAAGAATCACTCAAATCACGCAACTAATATTGAGTAAAGTCTAATTTCTGTATAAACGTTGTAATAAATCTACCTCTCCATAATTATGTTATTTTTAATATTTTTTGAAAATACTTAATAAATATTAAAAATTGTTCAAACATTGATCTTTCAGTTTCGCAGTCAACTACCACACAAGTAGCTTTGATTGTGCCTCCTCAGAACGCAAACTACTGTTGAATCGTGTACTTGGCGAATAATAATAATAGCTATTCTAACGTGAGCTATAATTATTTTATGTCCTGTAAATAAACATGTAGTATTTATACGTGCAAACATGTAATATTTATACAAATCTCTAACACGCTGACATTTTTTCGAATCGCTAATGATTGAATCTTAGCGTGAAATTCACAATATTTTGGTTAGTATTGTCACTTCCTTATAATTTATTTATTGTATAAATTGTTCATGCGTGAAGTCTTACTCTCTTCTGTAGTTTTAAAACAAATTTTTGAGACTGTGAAAATGTTTAGCGTATAATACATGTGACCTGTTCTTTTTTCTACGAATTTTTCTTAATTAAAAATTGAACTTGCCAGAAAACCTTCTGAGAAAAAACTTTTTTGCTCCATTGACTGATTATGAAAAATCATAAAACGCGCAATTTTTCAATCTATCGGAATACTATAAAATTAGTTCAATAATTTGTTTAAAGAGTGCAGTGATGGGTGTTATTTTATTTGATCTGTATTGAATTCACTTGTAATACTTTGATCAATGTTGCTCTTAATTTTTTTACTCGATCAAAACTTGAACTTGAGTTTATATTGACAAACACAATAAATTACTGTATTGTGTTATTATCGGTCAGATGTGTTTAAAATTTATGAAAATTCATTTAGTATTATCAATTAACTGTTCACAACAAAGCCTCTTTTCTACAACAAGAATGTGTTTTTTTCTATACGTAACGTTTATACTTTGTAAAATTTGCAACTGTTTTTTGATTTTACTGATTTTGTATATATATATATATATCATTTTCTTTGTCAAAAATCCATTGCATAAAATAGAAAAGTGGCATTCATTTTTCAAGCTGATGAAAAAAATATATTTGGATGTTAAATTTTCGCTTGTATCTGTGAATTGCAAGCTGCCAGAAAAATCAGCTAATAAACTGATGATAAGTTGATTAATGAAGGCTCAGAACTGTTGATCGGTTTTTGACGTGGCAATTTTAAGTATGTTACACAATGTTCCGACCGTTGACTTTTTGCATACAAATTATATGCAGTCTATCGGCTAAAATGCTAAGAAACTCATATATACAAAAAACATCTAGCTAACATATATAAACTTTGAATTTAATAAGCGTATTGAGTAAAAAAAAGTCATTTGCACATATTCTCGAGAGAAAATATATTTATTTGTTCAGTGAATGAGCAAATTTATTTCTTCCCAAAAAGATATGCAGAGATCCTTCCTGGTTTCGAGCGGTAGATTCAACTCTAGTTAACACTAACATAACATTACCGCCAGAAAATTATTAGTCTTAACATTGCAGCCAAAAAATTAATCTTACTCGAGAGCAAAAGATGGTTCTAAAGTCCTTAGTACAGTTTTGGAGATATATTTCATGATAGTGAATACTTTCTCAGTACTTATTATACTTCTTTCCATTAGAATCTAAATTATGGGTGCTTTCAAATGAAACAGCACTAAAGTTTTCTCACTCACTTTTTTACTTCAAAGAATTATACAATTTCTTTCATCTTTGATATCAGGATTAGTTCAAGGCCAACATTCACGTAAAGTGTGATATCAATACTGAATTCCAGATTTCACGCTTACCTATGATTTCATCAAAGTGCCAAAAGGCAGACAAGCACAGACTTTCTTTAAAATATTTTATCAGAACAATCTGTAAAACAAGAATCTTTGGTAATTCCAAAAATGAATTGATAAAATTCGCATACATTTAAATAAAATTGTCAAAATTTGACTTTTAGGACGCAATAAAATTGAAACAGAAAGATTTAGGTGTTTGCAATCTTTTATTTCCACCGAGCGAAAATTTTCGCTCAGAACTACCTCGGTATTTGTGAAAATACCAACAAACTATCCAATATTATATAACTGACGATAAATTGTTGCTCTCAAAGTTTTATTAAAAATTCTTAACTAGCCAATTTATGTTATTTCTGAACAAACTTTGTTCATCGCTTCATATGACTAGTTTAATAGCATAAGCTGGCAAGAGTAATTTAATTTAGACCGCATATTATAGATCTACCAAACAATTAAATACCGAATATGTTGCCCTTATCACACTAAGAAAAGCTAGCTCTTCTGCAAGTTTGGATAAAAATCTATGCCTAGTTTACGTTTCAAGTAAACCTTTCCAAATCCAAATTTTAAATTTTCGGATATTTTGTAAAATAATGATTTGAATAAATTGGTTGCCATGCTTTTGAAATGATGCGCTCTTCTCGCAAAAGTTAGCATAAATAAATTCTCGACTCAGAACTGTCCAATTCTTTAAATCCTTCAAAACTTTTATGCACAATTTCTGCTTAGGACACGATTTGTGGATATACTTTTTCGAGATTAAATTCAAACTTTTAAAAAATTAGTTTCACTACAAAAAAATTTTAAGTGATCGCAAATTTCAAGCTTTTATTGACTTTATCAACTGTTTAATTTAAAGACAAAATTTGTTCCAAAATGATGTATTCAACTTTAACTATTTAAAGACCTTTTACAACGTGCGAAGTCTTTTAATGAGAGTTTTTTGAAAAAGTTTCAAAAACTAAAAATCACTCTGAAATTTTATTTTTTTAATGATATTGAATACGTGAAAATAAAGTTGCAACAAAAATATTAACTTCAATTTTTTACATTTGGTTTCAGTTATTCTTAACTTCGTAAATCTTGCTCACTTTGATGCTCAAATTTGCCTCTGGTTTTTATTACTAATTAGTTTAATCTAAATTTGATCAAAGTCATGAAAGCCATTTATTTTTGCACAGAGACTGCATACTTTCGATATATTTTTTAATAAAAATATTATAGATACTGTTAAGTTATTTTTTTGCTGAACCAATTTGAGAAAAATCTTTGTGCGTTTTTTAAAAATTCACTTGTCAAAGTTTTGGAAATTAAAAATCTCTCCAATTATGAATTTGTAAAAAAATTGTCACTGTGATAATCATTTTTGCTGGCATTTGCAAGTAAGTAAAATGCTATTTGACAAATAAATACTCAGTGCATTGTCTTTTTTAAAGGTAAATAATTCAAAAATTGTTCGCTCTAAATAGTTTATTACAAAAAGATATGCTAATTTGTACAAATAATATTACATTGCAATTTTGATTAGAATAAAAACTAAAGTGGGAAAACAAGAAGCAGCATGATATCTGTTGGTAAGAGCATGGATGCATTTGTTAGGAAAAGTTAGATGAAATTTGATTCCCTCACTAGCTCTTCCAGGGTTTAGGCTTGCCAGAAGAAAAAGTTGGCTTGAATGGGACTGCTTCGTTCTGCCTTTATTTCCGTAAGTCGAATTGTTCATTCTCGGCCTTGCAAGGCTGCATTGTTAAGAAAAAGAAAAATTATGACAGATAGCTTTTTACTCAATTTAAAACCTTTTTCCTTTTTTTAGCAAAAACTTTGTTTTTGAAGTATTCTTTGCAATCGTAAAGCTTCGCCATTTTTATTTTGCTCATTTTTATTTTTAAAGCGTATTTGAAGCTAATTAGTTAGCAGCAAATTTTACCAAACAAAAATTAGCCTGCAGCAACCTTATTATTTTTATCTAATTAAATCAACATTTCTTGAACTTTTATAATTTTAAACTAATTTTATGTTCAGAGCTTCACTAATTTAAAAATCATTGTTTGCTGAATAAAAGTGGCATGACTATGAATACACTTAATGAGGCTGAAATATGCTATCATTAAAACATACTGAAATTATAAAAGTAAGTGCATGATTACTCGGTTCTGAGTTTTCTACAAGTGATTTGTTACAAACTAGTAGAGCATATGATGAAAACTTTGCTACTTTATCTGGGAAAAGTGACATTTTTTCTACTTTAAAATCTGAAAGTAATGAGTTTAGCGAAATAATTGAATGAAAAGTAATCCTAAGAAAATTCCTTATGAGCAATTTCAAGGAAAGCACCAACTTGCTTAATTTTAAAACTAAAGGTAGTTTAATTTGATAGAATTCAATTTTTGCTGACTATAACACATTTTGATTGCTCGAATACATCATATCTGTATTTGATAAAAATAAACTTTTGTCTCGTAATAATCAGGATGAAACGTTATTTTCACGGAAAAAAATCTTGCTTTATGGAATAAAGCTAATATCCATTGGACCTATTTGTTAAAATGATTATTATAAAACGATTTAGTGCTCAGATGCGACCAAGCTTTAGATTAGCAATATCTTTCATGAATATCTCTTTACTAAATCAAAAAATATTTTGCTTTTATTTTTACTTAAAATGCATGCGTTTTGAAAATTTTAAACTCGTCATATATTTTAGCCAATATTTTATGCTTTAAATTTGCTATTAGCTTTTAATTGTCAAAAAAAACTGTTAAGTTAAGAAATACTCTGTGAGCGTAAAGTTTTGTTTTCTATTTTTGAAATGTTTCATTTTTGAATCTTTCCAAAGTAATCAGATTAATTGTCAGTAAAGAAATGATATGGCTTGTTGAAAACGAACAACCCAATTAATGTGTAGACAAGAATGCGTTGCGAGTTTGGTTGACAAGGAAAGACTAAGCAAAGAAAAAAGCCATTACTGCTTAAGACATCACATCACATCACATCACATCTTTTGATTTCTAGACTCTTAGAATTGAAAGATAAATTTGATTAGTCTCACAGCTTTGTGCCCACAAATAGCCAGAAATAATGCTGCTGCAAAGTTTTAGTGAAAATAAATTTTGAAAAGAAAAAAGCTCAATCAACTTGCTTCCTTTCAACTTCTTACTTTCGTGAAACACAAAAAAACCATGGCAAAATTTGATTGTTATATCACATATTTTACAAAAAGCACTAATCTATATTTTAGCTTATTCTTCAGTGGACAGAAGCCGATGTCTCACATCTTACTGACCATTTTCGCATGTCGAATTGACAGTATGATTTCCACTTTTAAATTACAGTAATTTAATGCTGTTAATAATGCTGTTAGTCAAGCTTGCATGTAAATTAATAATTTCCAATTTTAATTCAAAACACCTTTTAGCTCTAAATAAAACTATACTGTTCTTTGCTCATAGATTGATTTACCGATGCGATCTAAATTTTCTGTTGCGAACTTTCCTCTGCAAATATGTTTTGTGACCATTGAAGTCTTGTTTCGTGACATTAGAGCATAATTTCATATTCATTATCCAATTATTTTAACACAGTGAATTATATTTTAGATTTTATTACTTCTCGATCGTAATTACTTTACTGAAGCTAAATGTTTAGAATTCAGCAAAGTTTTGGATCAAAATTTGATGACAGCATGCTTCATCATGAAGTCTATTTCATGATTTAAGAATTATTTCGTTTTCTCCCAAACATTTTTTTCAGTTTCAGTATTTACTGCAGCAAACAAAATGCATGTTTTACGCAGATGTTTTTGTATTGCTCAAATTATTACTTACGCGAAGGAAATCAGAGAGTATTAATAATTTTGCGCCTAGCAGCTCCTTTAAACTTGTCGAATTTGTTGTTGCTTTTTGCTATAAACAGAAGTTTGGAGGAGAACGAAAACTTTTTGGCATACTTAAGCCTTCTATGCGTTACTTTTGTTCTTTGTTTTTAACAACAGACAGACTTTGCTTAACAAGCGATCAGAACAACTTTGAAATGCTTGTTTTACTGCTCGTTTTAAGTCTGAATAATATTTAGCTTATTTACTAATAAGCAACAATTATGCGAATGCTCGTGCTTCTTTTCTTGCTGCTAGAAGCTCAATTATATGACTGCTCTGAAAAAGATACAACTTTGGTCATCAATCGTATCAATAATCGTGTCGAATTCTCGGATTTATTGCTAGAATATAATCACAATCAAGCTGATGAAAATATCGTCAATGTATGTTCACTTCATTGATCTAATTTCTAAGTTTTCTTATTCGTTATCACAAATTTCTTTATACTTTTTTGCTTCTGTCCAAACATAAGTTCTAATTCATACTTATAACACAAGTGACAATAAAATAATATTATTAATTTTGGTAACAATGATAATAATAATAATAATCAGTCTGTGACTTTAATATTTATCAACCATTTATTTTTCTAAACTCTCTCTCAAGTTTCTAAAATCGTATTTTTGACATAACTGTTAAAGACAGTGATAAAAGTCAAATAAATCAGTTTAGTACTCTTTAAACTGTTAGTTGATATCATAGTAAAATGTACAAATATTTGATTTAAAATATATTAATGAAATAACAAGAGTTAATATAAGTTTTACTAATTTATAAAGTAGCAAATTTAGGTCAATATAAGTTTTATGATACACAGTGTTGTAAGCATCTTTCCAATAACAAGATTGAAATGCGAAATTTTCCAACAGTGGCGTGATTCACGTTTAAAATATTTTGGAACATCATCCATTACGGTGGTTTGCTATTTTCTTTAGAAATTACATTTCAGACAGATATATTCTTGAGTATTTTAAATTTTTTGGAATATATTAAGAATATTTTTACTTTTCAAACTTCATTTCTAAAGTAGTTATTTAAAACAACGTTTTTACCATTGACATTTTAGATTCCAAAAGGGACCAAAATTTGGATTCCTGACACAAACTTTGTCAATTCTGAAATAAATTATGGTTTGCAATCTTCGCTTCGTCTTCATTTTGACGGTTTAATTAGCTGGAAGCAACAAGCAAGACTAACTATTCCTTGCTTTCCTAAAATTTATTCGGAAGAGGTCAAGTCAAAGTCTGACGTTGAATTTCAATTTAAAATTGCTCAGATTCACATTTGAAAATAGTTGCAAAAAATGAATAAGAATTATTTTTTAAAAAGTATTGTATGTTCCAAGATCCATCATTTTTAGTTTTCAGGTATTTTTTGAATTAATCAAAACACTGCTTAACATCTCTTCAGTTTAGAACTCATTCTTCTCAGGAAATTATCTACTTTTTGGATTTATGAATTCGTAATGACAATTTTGCCAAAAGACTAGTACAGTATGTGAAAGTATTAATAAGATTTTATCATTCTTGGCACTGAGCAAATAATTTTTAAAAATTCGTTTGCTGTTCAGTCTAATGAATATATTGAAAAAAGTCGATACATGTAATTTTTACTTGTGAAACCACTAATTATTCAAACTCTGTCATCTCCAAATTCCAAATTTAAATTGTTAAAATTACAACCAAAAGTGTATAAAATCGTGAATTCTACGTAATTATAATAAATACGCTGCAAACTTTTTGTGACAAACTTTATTGGAATTTTGAGTTTCAATGTGATTTCAGGCAAAGCAGTCAATTTCAAATTGTTCATTAATAATTGCAAGCTTCGATAATGCTGGAGCCGAATCAATCGTTTATACATTAGACAAAGTTATTCATTCCCTTGAAGATCCCGCATATTTTGGTCAAATAGAAAATTATACAAGTTCAACTTTTGAGAAAGTTAGTTTGAATGGAGAATCGATTTTTTATACTTCCATTAATTTTAACGTGAAAGCGACTGCATCCGAAGACTCTCCGAAAAACAGAACTTCATACAGTAATAATTAAATTTGTCAAATATCACAGACTATCAATGATAAAAAGGATTTAACATGTGAGAAGCTAACTCCGATAAAAACTGCAAAGCTTTTGAAAATATTTTCGGATCCAAATTCTAGCAGAGCGATGCCATTCACTTTCATCTTATACATATTACCTACCACCAGAAGTAATGCATTGGCGTATCTAACCAATTTGTTTTGAATTCTGCTTTTTTCTTTCCAAAAAATAAACCTTTTGCATTATGAAAAGAATTCTGAGTAATTTATCACTTTCTTCCATCAGCAATGCTATTTTAAGACTCAGTTCGCATACTTGCCTTATCTATCACACATAAATTTGGGGATTATATTAGCATGTGTGTGGATAGAAAAGTATTAAAAATAAGATAGTGGAAAGAAAATTTCGGTCCTTATTTACCTAATAATGATCAAAAAGTCTAATAGTACTGTGAATGAATATTCATGACAGTTAGAAGAAGACTTGCTGTTGCTGAAATTGCTACTAAACAGTAGCACACACTTTATAAAATGGTCATTTAAAAAGCTGAATCAGTGTTGTTTTAAAGACTAGTGACTTGTATGAAAATGTAAATTCTGCATGAAGAAAGTTGGATATTTTTTTGATACAAAAAGTTTCATTGTGAAGGTCAGGACATCGCACTTTTATACACATATTTGTTTTCTAAATGAGACATGTTGGAAATATATTTATTTTCTGTCATTTGAATCAACAAAAGCGTGAATATATATTATAAGCAAAGTTTAAGGAAGTTGAAGTATGTAATATAAACAAATTATTTATTTTCCAGCTTGAAAGAGTTCAAATAAATGAGAGTACTGATATTCTATTT